TTGAACTTATGTCTTCCTGACTGAAGTGCCCACTTTAATCTCTGTAAAACCTAGCTGCCCCAAATTATAGGTAAAATATGTGCTTCGACTCTTTGGTGTCTAGACAAATTTTTTACATTTAGAATATCAATAGTTAAATTAATGTTTTATATGTAATCAAAATCTAAGTAATTCTTAGTACATGATGGTCAAAGAATTCATCACCAAATAGCCAACCCATAGGGGATAAGATCTCTATATTTAGCAAGCCTTGCTTGGTAGAATTTGTGAGAGCTTACACTCCAATATACTTATGGTTACTTCCACATCACAATGGAAGATCTGAGGAGGACTTTTGTGAAATTACAATTGCCTTTATGAAATTGATACTTTGAACTTGATTTTAAAATTTTGAGAAATTTTTATTTCTTTTAATGAAGTCAGAATATTCAGAGCATAAATACACTCCAAAGAACAGCAAGCCAAGTTTGACTTCTATGTCAACACAATCTGTTATGAGTCACCTGAGTGACAAAATGGCCAGAAATTTCCAGCTTGTACCATTACATCCACCACTAATATTTTAAATGCATTAAAATTTCTTCAAAGCACAATTGTTCTCCATTTTATTTCTTAACACTATATGGTTGTATGTTCATAAATATTTTAAATAACAGTTTCTTCCCAGTAGCTGGCTTCAGTGATAAAATGCCGGCTGATTGGCAACACTCCTTTGCTATCTCCCAAACTGCACACCCCCTCATAGCCCTTCACCACTTCACACACACACACACACACACACACACATACCACACTTTCTTTTTAATTTTAAATAGCATCTGTGCTAGCAATAGAGGCATTTTGAAACAGAACCTTCTTTGTCCTTTACAGGGCAGACAAAAGTTCTAACACCACTTAGCTGTTTGCCACTAACTATAGTAGGAAGACGGGTGAGTTCCTTCAATCAATCAACAAATATTTATAAAGACTTCCTATATTCCAAGCGTTATGCTAGAAGCTAGGGATACAAGTACAAATAAAGAATGAAACAATTCCCTACTTGCAATGAGCTTACTTTCTAAAAGAGGAGACCCCAAATATACATAAATATATATACACATATAGCATAAATAAAAAGTCATGCATATAAATGTATATAAATATGAAGTAATTATTTATATCTTTATGTATCTGTCTATGTGTGTTTGCACACATGCACATGTGTGCATGTGTGTGTGTGTGTGTGTGTGTGTGTGTGTGTGTGTAGAGAGAGAAAAATTCAAGAGCGAAGGTATTAATATTTGGGGGGTCAGGAAAGGCTTTAAACAGAAAATTGTGCCCGAACTGAATGTAAGAGAGGGATTCTATGAGACAGAGGTAAGAAAAGAGTGCATCTTAGGCATACAATGAGGGCAAAGGGCTGGGGGTGGGAGATAGAGTGTTGGCAATTTGGCTGGATCATAGCATGCCAGAGACCTAAGTAAAGTTGAATGAGATTGGAAAAATAGATTAGGACAAGGTTGTGAAGGGCTTTGAAAACTAAGCAAAGGGTTTTCTATTTTATTTTAGAAGCCCTGGCAGATGGAAGAGTTGAGGAGTTAGCACTCACTCCTCTATCCTGACCAGCTTCATCTTGCCTCCTTTCTCATCTTTTCTTTTTCCTATGGACATGGAGTATGGGGATAGAGCAGTGGTGTTCTGAGGCTGTAGCAGCTGCCCTAGTTATTCTGTACCTGGCACAGCTGAAACAAAAACTTAAAAGTAAAGGAAACCCTAAATATCAGTATTGCCTTTCAATCTTGAAGCAGCTTGATGTAGTGGATACATGCTGGGCTTGGAGTCCAGAGGTCTTGGGTTCAAATCCTATTTCTACTACTTACTAGCTTGTGTGCCCATGGTCACTTAATTTCGTTGAGCCCCAGGCAACTCTCCAAGATGGGCTGCTGGTTCACATACATTCTCTCATTCAATCCTAGCAAAAACCCTATCAGGTAAGTAAGGGGATGGAGGGTATATAAATTCAAAAACCTATAAATAATAAATCTACTATGATGCAATTTTAAATGTATTTGCCCTTCCAAAAAAAACCACTCATTTCCTATAGTTTATATTCTTTTACCTTCACCAGTTTGATTACCATCTTTCCAAAGTCACTGTTCTTGATTCATATAGGAATAGGATATTCCTATCCCATGTGTATAGGAAGGAACACACTTTCCCCAGTTGCAAAGGGGAGAAAACCTCCTTCCTGAATTTGCTCCTTAGACTAGGGAAATGGTAGGAAATATAAGCATAACTATATATTACCACCATGCTATTTAAAGAAAATTAAAGCCATGATCTCTAGGCCTTCGTACTGTCAACAGTCAAGTAGAGCTCTTCTCTGAAAATCAGCATATGCTATTAATTCATGTCTATTAATAGGCCTGTCCCTCGAATTAGATTGTAGCTTCTTGAGAGCAAAAAAATCACACCTTGCACTTTTTTGTGTTCCTCCTGCCTATCTCCTGGTCTCAGAGTCCATAGCAGATGCTCAACAAATGTTTGAAGAGAAAGGGAGGAGTAGAGCTCAGTATAGTATAAAAAGCACTGGATTTGGAATAAGATGGGCTGGGTTCGAATACTAAATATTTTGCTTATTATATGTGTGATGCCTTGAGCAAGTCACTTTATAGATCACAGTTTCCTCACCCGTAAAATGGGGAGGGGAGAGGAAAGGAGAAGGGATTGAACTAAATTATCTCTAAGGTCCCAGTTAGCTCTAAATAATATGAACCTAAGAAGTAGAGGAATGTAAAGCTTCCTCTAAATCACACCCTTCCGCACAAATTACCTTCCTTCACCTTTGTTAAATTTGTGAAGAGTATCCTTCCTTTACGGAGATGAACACGTCCAGTTATCTCAACCATGAGATATAAAAATGAATACAATAGACCAAAAATGTCCTTTTCCTCTTGTCCCTGGAAGAAATATGTCTTACTATCTTTGGACTTCTATCCCTCTACATATGGCTTGCTATCTTTGGATTTCTTTCTCTCTACATATGGTAAGAGAGTACTGATTGCGCAATTTCTTAGATGGAGAAAAGAGTTTTTCTTTACCCTCCCCCTCATGTTGTCATATACAACCACTATATGCCAGACTAAGCAAAGTGTAACCTAACTACTACCTACAATCACTTTCTTATTGTGCAGATGATCAGGAGAAGGGAACATATTAACATGCCATAAACGTTCTCCCTCTAGCCCTAACCAATAACGCAATGAAACCAAAATGAAAACCACACGCCTCTTCCATTAGTCATAATCTTTTCACGGTTATTTTATCCCAAGCAATATACCTTGCAAATATGTCATACAAACATTCAGTTTGTATTAAAGAATTAATATTGTTAGAATGTGATTCACTTTTCAAAGTATTTTCACATCTATCATTATGTTAGATCCTCACAATCCTGGGAACTAGATGGACAGATATTATTATTCCCACTTAACAGATGAAAAAACTGAAGTGCAGAAAGATAATGTGACTTCTTTCTAATGAATGGAAGTTTTAAGTCAGAGTCATTTACAAGAGTTGCTAAAGTCACATACATAACATGTTCTTTCCTTTAAGAATTTCTACATCATAACTGTAACCTGATGTTTTTATATTGAAAAAACTGAGCCGAACTCTCAAACTTAGATTTTACATAGCCTGGGGCTCCCATAAATGGCGCACTAAAAGCTACACCCAGGTTCAAGGAATTCTTTGGGTCATCGTGTATTTAAATCTATAATTCACAAACTCCCATCCATTGTTTGTCTTTTACCAGACTAAACCAGATCACAAAGTCAAAGAAGAAGAACAAGGCAGAATGTTGGGGTTTTAATAGAATAATCAAATTAAAATCAACTTAATAAGACTACTATTGATTTATGTTATTCTTGCTATCTGATTATATTTAGCTGAGTCCTTATGTAGTGCGTAGTACTGTCCTGGGAAGTTTTCAGAACTTCTAGATAAGATCACATTTCAATTATCTCAAATAAATAAGCCTTTATACTAGTTTATGTTAATTTGTGGTTTCCTTTTTTATTTTGTTTCAAATTCTCTCCCTCTTCCCCTCTCCCACCAATTGAGAAGACAAGAAAAATAAAACACATTACAAGTATGTTTAGACATGCAGAACAAATTTCCATATTAGCCATGTTCCAAGGTGGGAAAAAAAGCAAGAAAAAGAAATATGCTGGGAAAAAGAGAAATATGCTATATCCTAGGAGTCCTTCAGTTCTCTATCTGGAGGTACATAGCATGTTTTGTCATAAATCCTTTGGAATTGTGGTTGGTCATTGTGTTGATCACAGTTACAAAGTCTTTCAGGATTATCTTTACAATATTATTGTTACTATGTAAATTATTCTCCTGGTTCTGTTCACCTCAATTTGTTTCAGTTCACACAAGCCTTCCCAGGCTTTTCTGAAGTCATCCCCTCCATCATTTCTTATAGCACAACGATATTCAATCATATTTATATGCCATGATTTGTTCAGCCATTCTCCAACTGATGAGCACCCCCTTAGTTTCCAATTCTTTGTCACACCAAGAAGAGCTGCTACAAATATTTTTTTACACACAGGCCCTTTTCTTCTTTCTTTGATCTTTTTGGGGTACATACCTAGTAGCAGTATCACTGGGTTAGAGGGTAGATACAGCTGAATAGCCACTGGGGCATGGTTCCAAATAGTTCTCCAAAATGGTTGGACTTGTTCACAGCTCCACCAGCAGTACTTTAGTGCACCTATTTTCCCACATCCCCATTTCTTTACTATATACTATTTTCGGAAGAAATTAAAAGGTCACCTAAAACATAATTCTAATGCTAAAAATAGTTTGACTTCTTCCAGTAAGAGTATAAGGAAACATCTATTTTCCCAGACATAGATAGATGTTTCTGAAGTTTGGTGTTTTTTTTTAACTTTTTATCTGATTTCTTTTTAGGAGACAACAATGGATGGTCTCAGCAGCTTGATAAATATTTTGCAAATAAGTATAAAATGATTTCCCCATATCCTTTTGAGACAGAGCCCTCTGAATGCTGTAAGTAGTCATAGGAATCTACCATCATTATTAAATATCATAGTCAAATATGTTTCTTTGTGTAATGAAAAGCTATTTTGTAAAATATGAGATGCGGGTTTAAAAAAATTAATGAATTGCAATCTGTTATTTGAAGTTTCTCTTCCAAAGAATTGTAAGAGAAGTTGTTTGAGAATAAAAATAAGTGATTCTTCATGCCTTTCCCTCTAATTGTGATTAATCATATGTGAGAGGTTGACATGACTGAAGATTTTGTGAAATGGAAATAATGTCAGTTAAGGATGGATGATGCTTTTTGGCATGGACCCCGCTATAACTTGAATGCTCTCGTGAACCCTGACATGAATAAAACAGAGAAATGGGGATAGTACTTGGATTTTAATGTTTGTCCAAGTAAGAAATATCCTATAAAACTCAGTTATCTTTTAAGTTATGACAACATCATTAATCACAACACAACAATGTGTAGAAATATTATTATAGATTACAAAGCTATTGGATTTAGATGTCAGACCTTTAGATATAAGCATTTCTAATGTTTTCCATTATGAAGACAAATTGGGAAAAAATAATTCATGTTTTACAGTTTTTTGTTCTCCATAAGTAATAAAAATGGGTAACATTTGAACCTAAGAGGTAAAAGTTTGTACTCAATTTTTGTACTGTATTTTGATTAATAACAAGTTGGTTTTCTTTACATTATTGGGTATAGTGTTATATTCTACTATCGCTTAAAGGATATGGCTTAAATTTTTTTAACCTAACATTTTTAGTGTTCATTTTGAGATGAACAAAAATGTACCCACAAATTTTAAAGGAGTTACTATTTTTTATAATGCGTGGCCAGAATGGTCCCAATAAGTCACAGAGAAATTATGATATTATTAAGCTAATCTAGCATCAGGGTGGGCTCAAAGTTAAAGGAGAAAATTGGGAGGTGGGGAATTTCAGCCCAAGTTATTTAACTTGGTTTGTTTATTTATATTTAAGTTATTTAATGGGTTAAAAGCATTTAGACACAAATAACAAATGTTACCCAGAAGCTAACATGAAACATTGAAATAATAATTGGACAGACTATACTAGTTTGAAAGGTACACTCCTTTTCTTTTTTTTACTTTATTATTGGTGTCTTTTTGTTGAATGAGAGTTTTATATCTAAATTGAAATGAAGCATGAATGGAAAAACTTAATGGAAAGTGTCATATGAAGACTTTAGGTAAAACTTAAATTAAGGTTCCTAATGTACTGCAGTATTAAAGTCAAATTTTCATATAGGTATACTTCACATTAAACATGTGAGCCTACCTTTTGTCCATTTGGGAGATAGATGAGAGGAAATTATAATATTTACTTCAATATTTCAAGTGTCACTGGTATGCATAATCCTTTCACTGATGCAGATTGCAACTCCTCTATGACTCAGCTGACAGTGTTGGAGAATTACTGTGGTGAAAGATAAATCACCCTATAGCCAACCTGGTATTGAGCCTCTCCTACTTCACTAGATGTTCTTAAATGACAAATAGCTAGCCATCACCAGGTAGATGTTTTCCAGCTTGATAGGACCTATCCTCTGGCATAGCCTTAAAAAAAGAAGGGGGGGGTCACCTCTACTCCATTGTGTGACATCAAAGTAAGACATTAATAAGGGAGAATATTTCAATAAACACCTTAGAATTGATTTACATCTATACTTTGACCTCTAATCTGCATATGACATTCTGCACAGTGCTTCCCAGAAAGCATCATTCTCTAAATATGTATCCTTAATTTCAATGTCTTAATGTAGAGGCTATGACTTGGAATGGCCTGACCAACCTATCAAGCTTAAAGGATAAGGCCTCTGTCCTGCTCTTGGAGACACCTGACTGAAGTGAAGGGGCAAGAGGACTGAGGTCAGCTCCTAAACAGGGTATGGAGGAGTAGACTAGTCAACTTCACCTTCTTCCAAGTAATTGTCTGGCCTCTGCTTATTTCTGCTCTCTTTTATACCAGCCCTGGGTGAGTCTCAGATCTACAATAGCCATAACTCAGCCCAACTTCCTCAATGCCTTGATTCATCCAATCATTCTCAATGGCCTGACAGTCACCTAAGGCAAGGTACCCATTTGTACCATATGAAGGAGATATCACCAATCACCAAAACGCAATTAAAATGGGGATATGCAGAAAGCCTTATCTTTTAACTTTGCTGGGGTTACCAAGCTGCTCTTGTTCATACCCTCTACACTATCATTGTATCATGTTTTACTTAACACTACAATCCTTCAAAAGGATGCATACACAATTTCTATGATTCCAAGGAAGATACTAGGTTTGAAGTCAAAGAAAATCAGGGCTCTGTCAATTATTACCTGTTTGGCCTTGGGCAAGTCTCTTGACTTCACTGGGCCACAGTTTCCTCATCTGTAAAATGGAGAAACAGATAATTTTTCAGGTCATTCCCAGATCTGAGTCCATGATCCTGTGTTCTAGGTAAAATTAAGGAATTAATAGCTCCTGGCAAGGATATGAGCACTTATTGTTAACAAAAGCCAAAAGATAATGACTTCATTTTATTACATTATTTATATAAAGGAACTGGATTAAGATGCCCTAATACAAGGAGCTATGTCGAGTTCCTAGAGGATATCGGTAGGACCTTGCTTATTGTACCCCTAAATAAGGTAGATCTTTCAAGTTCTAGCATGAACACAAACTCTATTTCCTTCACTTCCTCTTGAAGGATGGCAATTTCTCTTTGCAGCACTTTTTTTCACTCTTATTCATAGGGACGTAAATAAGAGCATTAATAAGTGACCCCCACACAGAGATATGCTGGCAAATGTTTAACAACCAGTTCCAAATAGATAGAAAGACAGATATTCAAGTCACACTTTTAAGTTTAATCTACATTATTAACTTTTCTCCATTACTTTCATAAGTCTAGATAATCAACAAAACAATAAATCCCCAATTTTTTCCAAATTCTGAGGTATAAATGCTCACAGTGAAAATTTAACAACCTACCCTCACAAGACAATATGGGAGAGTTCCTCCATAACGCTGCCCCTGTCTCTTAGGTGTGGCTAAAGTAGCAGTCGCATGTACTGCACACCAATGGTCAGAAACACATTTACTTTAGAGTTTTGCTTTCCCTGATTTCCTTGATTTTCAATTAATTATACAAAACTTGAAATTTAGTCATTTGGTAGGAAATGGAGGCCCCTCATAATCTGACGTCCTAAACTAAAATTTACTTGGCCAATAATAGGTAAATATAGGAATCCGTGGCTATGAAGATTCCTATTTCCTCAAATACACTGGTACCCCACTTATTTTGAAGCTCATGAAAAGATGTGGACTTTGCCGTATTGTATTTTTGTTTTGGACTAAACTTGTGATTTCATTAATATAGGGCACTCCTTTAACCAATGCAGATCACCAACTTCTCTACAACTTATAGTCTCAGAGAGTGGCCTCAAGCAATGACTGAGTGATTAAGTCACTTTCCCAGGGTAACACAGCCACTATAAGTCAGAGTCAGGACTTGAACCCAGGTCTTAGTAATTCTGAGAATTCTTTATCCTCTACCACTGGAGCCCTTAACTTGGGATCTATGGACCTCCATTCCAAATGGTCTATGAACATAGATGGAAAAAAACTATACATTTATGTTCACTGAGCTCTAACTGAAATTTAGCTTTTCCTTCAATTATCTTAAAACATTTTTCTGAGGGCCCTTAGGCCTCACCAGACTTCCAAAGGAATCCAGGACAAAAAAAGGCACCATCTTGCCTCTCATGTGGCAGATGTTATTACCTTAAAATTAGGGTTGTTGGGTTTGGGAGATTTGGTTGGGTTAGAGGGAGGGAAGTTTTGTTTTGTCACAAATGTGAAAAACAAAGTATAGTAGGATCTCTTTATAAAACTCATTATTACAGAATGAGTAGACTATGGGTTAAGTTACATCTCTACATTTTATAACTATCTAAGGCAGGCATTTAGCTTTTCTCTAATGCCAGATTATGAAGGGCTTCCACTGCCTCTATTATTTCTCATGTATAATTTGTCTGGAATGTAAACTGGGATTTCATTTTGCTTCATTTGGACTTCCACAACCAGAAGCCTCAAACAATTTCATTGATAGGCTCTTGGCATCTGTGTCATACTCTGGGAAGGGTGCTGTCAGAATCACAGCTGCGGACCCAAAACTCTCCCTGAGAAGCTGTCCGGTCAATTCCCCCAGAAAGAGTTGCGGGAGCTGGTTGACCATTAACTCCAACAGGAACAAGAAGACAAGCAAAGGAGGCCCTGATGCTGCTTCTCCACACTCAAGGGTGTGGACATTGGCCAATAAAGAGAGAATCAAGCACACTGGGTACCACAATCATCTCATGATGTCACAAAGGAATGAAAATTCTATTAAACCTGCTAATTTGGAATGTTTAACTGTGTGACTCATTGATCGCATTACTAAAATTATTAATGCTCTGTGGTACAGTGGGACAAGCACTGACTAGAGTCAGAGGACCTACATTCAAAATCCTGCCTTGAATAAGGTATGATATTGGACAAGTCAATTAACCTCCCTGGGCCTTAGTATCCTCATCTCTAAGATGACAGGGGGGAAGGCAGTATAGACTAAATGACTCTTGAGGTGTCTTGTCTATGAACTATGAAGCTGACAGGTACATACGTTTCCTGCAAGCCTCCAACAGAGCTTCAGAAAGTGCTGAAAAGGGTCCTTGAAGGCTTTCATTCTCTCCCAGGGATAGAGTCTGGTTAAACCTAAGGATGCCTTCTCAGACTAACGTGTTTAAATAATTGAAGGAAATGCTAGATTTCAATAAGAAGTTAGTGAAAATAAGGGTACATTTTTCCCATCTAAACTCATAGATCCCCTAAAATCTATTCCCAGATTTAAAACCCCTGCTCTATCCCCAACCAGCAAAACTAAAGGCAGAAATCCCTTCTTTTCATTGCTTTCTCCTTCTCCCCAAACTTCCCCACACCTGACCCACATGTATGGGAACCAACAAAGCCTTCTACAATAGAGAATTAGGCATGGCTCTGCCCCTAGGGAAATTACTGAGGGGCTACTCTTTGGCTCAAAAATTTTTTCAAAGAAGTTCTCCAGAAGCAAATGACTTTTTCTGTGGTGCAGATGGTAGATTACCAAATTATCTGAAAAATTTCTGAACTCTCCTAAGAAATTCTGCAGTAAAGCTGTGGTATAACTTGTTTAATGAATTTTCTTTTCTTCTGTTTTCCTCACTAGTTCATAAAAAATTATGTAGTGTTCTATTAAAGGCAATGGCTATGCTGCTACTCATAATACTTTCTTCTTGAATAGCTTCAGCGTAAATGTGGACCTCAAAGTGCTTCACAGAGGAACAAGCCAGCTTTGGAAATAGCTACTTCCCTAGGTCAAAGGACAGCAAGTTCTAAAGAATGCTGATTTCATTCATTTTGCTGGGAGTAAAGGAGGGTAGGTTGGTTAAAAGAAGTGTGGGCTGGTAATTTAATGTACATATTTACAAGGCTGCATTAAGCCACATCATTTCAGTTCATAGATGGGTGAATTATTCTTAATAACATCTAACATCCAAAGAAAAATACATCAAATGTGAATGTGGGAACCTTAATTTAAAGTCTTACCTAACTGTCCTCAGCATAGGATATGCTGTAGTACTAAGTAATTTTCTCCTAGCTTCTCTCTTCCTCTTTCTGTCTTCCTGTTCATCCCTTACCCTCTGCTGTCCCCCTCCCCCTCCTCTTCATTCAGTGGTTGATTCTGTGCCAGTGAAATGTCTATGCCAAGGTCTAGAGATTGACTGTGATGAAGCCAACTTACGTGCTGTCCCATCTGTATCTTCAAATGTGACTATGATGTAAGTAGAGCAGAATTTCCTCATCTGTCAGCTTTTAATTGCACCTAGAGAGACCACATCATGACTAGGGCTTCGTAATTAATAATGATGCTCTGCCTTTAACATCACATAAATGATATCACTGACCCTTGGTTGATAGGGAATGTACTTTGAGTAATTATAAATTGATTATTTTCCTATGAAGTTAACACTAAAAAGTAAAAGGATCTAATATCTCAACACCTAAGGTGGTTTGCTGATCTACTTGTACTGCCGAATCAGACTAAGCTCCATCTGATTTAACATGGAAGTGCTGACAACTTAATGCTAAACATCTGGTTGAAAACTATGGAAACTGAGGGGCAGCTAGGTGGCATAGTGGATAGAGCATCGGCCCTGAAGTCAGGAGGACCTGAGTTCAAATCCGGCCTCAGACCAAACATTTGACACTTACCAGCTGTGTGACCCCGGGCAAGTCACTTAACCCCAACTGCCTACGCAAGAAAAAAAAAAAAAAACTATGGAAACTTCCTCTCAGCAAAGAGCTATTGGACTAGAGGTGTAGAAGGTGGCTTGTACTTTCTTTCTTCTTTTTTTAATTTTATTTATTCAATGAACAAAAATCTATTTTCTCTTCCTCACACCTTCCCCCACTGGAAAACACAAACAAAAACCCTTATGAAAACAAAAACAAAAACCCTTACACAGTCAAGCAAAACAGATTCCTGCATTATATTGTACCATAAGAAATGATGAAAGGGATGTTTTGAGAGAAACTTGAGAAGCCTCTTATGAAATTATGCAAAGTGACATAAGCAGAACCAAGAGAACAATTTATATAACAACATTAAAAGACAAATACCTTTGAAAGATTCAAGAATTCTCATTAACACAATGACCAACCATGATTCCAGGGGACCAGTGCTGAAACCTGCTGCACACCTTCTGACAGAGAGGTGATGGATTCACAGTCCAAAATGAGATATATATCTTTTGGACATGCTAACATGGGGATTTTGTGTGTGTGAGGATCATATTTCCATGCCTGGCCAATGCATATATTTGGTTTTGCTTGACTATAATAACTTGTTATAATACAATATGCTTTTTAAAAAAAAAAAAGGAAAATTGATGGATAGAAAGTCAGGTTCTTTTCCCTCTTTTAACTAAGTTACTTTCAGAGATACAAGTTATCCAAATGTTTACTGAAATTTTCATTTTTAATCCAGCTGTTTTCATGTCATATAAACTCAGTCTTTGAATGTACATGGTTCAGATGCCAACAAACCCAGATCAATTCATGTATATAGCAGACATTCCTAAGATAATATATTCAGAGTGGGAAAGGACCTTAGACACCATCAAGTCCAACTGTCTTATTTTATAGATTAGGAAACAGGAGTCTAGATCAGTTAAGTGACTTGCCCATGGTCACACAACTAGTTACTGTCTAAGGTGGGATTTGAACTCAGTTCTTCATAATTCTGTCTAGTTACCTATCCACTATGCCATGCTGTTTCAATAAATGCCTGTTGAAATTAATTTCTACTCTGCATAAAAAAGTAAGTTGTATGCCTTTACACACGGTGGAGTGGGGGAGAGAATTGTGGAACACAGCATGGAGGAGCTAAGGAAGGCCATGCAAATAATAATTCTGCCATCTTCCCAGCTAGCCCTTCAGTTCCTTTCACAGGAAATGTTATTCTATGAATCAGGTATCAAATATTTCTAAGCCACCAACAGTTTGTACAGCTGGTGATGGCCTGGGAAAATAAAAATAAGAGAATATAATAGACCTAGGATCTTAAGGAAGGTTCTTTTCTCTCTAAACTCACTAAGGTATTAGATGGCACTTTCCCAAGGTCAGAAGGAAAAATTGAGCTTCCTTCATATTCTTCTCCCTGAGCAAAACAGAAACAAACAGAAAGACAGAGAGAAAGAGAATGAGAGAAAGAGAGAGGGAGAAGGAGAGGAAGAGAAAGAGAGAGAGAGAAGGAGACATTGAGAGAGAGAGAGGGAGAGAAAAACAGAACTACATACTATGTCAACTTTAGTATTTGAATGGATTTCATTCAAATTTAAAAGAAAACATTACTAATGATTTGAGGTTTTAAGAGGCAAGTTACTACCCATCTTCTCCCTTTCCCTCTTTTCAGCTTCCTTTTATGTTGTCTTAAATTGTAAGTTCCTTAAGAGCAGGAACTGTTTTTCTTTTTTATATTTGCATTCCTAGCATAGGAGTTTTGTGTATTGACTGACTGACTATAAAAACCAAATTAAAGAATGCTGGTACAACATGACGCTATAAAATAAGCATCATTCTTTGTGATGTCTCTCCTCTGCAGTACCTTGAGAGCACAGAATGGCATTCAAGACCTGCAGTATCCTGCCAGGCTCATTATCTTGTGTAGTATCATCTGCTTTACCCCACAAACAAACTAAAAAATGCTTTTTGAGGGGAATCTCTTTAATCCTCCCAGTAAGCCAGTGAAATGGGGAGTTGGGTCACAGAATGGTTAATTATTCGACCAGCATGTTAGTGGAAGAATAGGAATTAGTGAGATTTGATGTGAAGACGCCCTAGTAGACAACTATTTTTTCATTATGGTGAACAACACAACCAAATACACCAGTCAGTTACCTAATCAGTCCTAACAACCTCAACTGTGACAGTAACTGGACCTGGGGATTCTGACAACTCTGATAGAATTCCCAGTAGTTTCAGGATACCCATGTAAATAAACTTGTTATTTCTGAACACAGGTGTTGATAAGTCTTAGGTTGAATTATTCTGATTTTGTGGCAAATGAAATTCTCATTCATTTAATTGTATTTCCCTGTTTGTGTGGTAAAGTTGGTGAAGGTGAAGTAAGAACTGAAGTAAAGTAATTAAGGGTATTTAAAAGATAACAAATGGGGCACAATGCCACCATGCAACAGTAGGCTTCCTGAGTGGCTGAAAGTGAACCTAAGATTAGAAAAATGGAGCAATGAATTTAGTCAAGAAATCCAAGATAATCTAATACTAAATTTAAATGTAGAAAGGAGTACGCATTATTTTCATCTGAAGTCATGCAAGAAAGGGTCCTGCAGGGAAGTAGCCATGTTCTATTCTTGGGGGCTTGGAAACTTTAGTAGAGAACAGTTTAGAAAGTCTAAGGTCATCTTGTCTGGGACCAGGTAGATTTCTTTTACAAGCATTTCTAATCTTCTTTCCATGATCTGTCACTTCTGAATGTGGCTGTTCTCATTTCTCTCGTTACCAAAAAAAAAAAAAAACTATAAAATGAACTCATGACCTAGAGTGTTGTTAGTTAGAGCATAGAAGGAAAAGAGAAAAGTGAGTCCTAGGAGGAAAAGGGGGAGATCTGGAGGCAGTTGCAACAACAAAGGAAAATAGGCTGGTTAATTAGATCTCAGGTACAATAGGGCTAAATTCAAAGTTCAGCATAAAAGCCAGAGAAGTCCAGGAGGCTTAGTATCTCAAGCCAGAGTTCCAGGATCAAAGAATTATCATAAAAAGTATAAGGGAAAAGGGTCTCAGGGGAAAAATATCCCTGGATCAACTAGTTCCAAGAGGATGCCACTAAGAAGCTGACTGTGTTCTCAATAGGGCCCAAGATCCATCCAAAGCTAGAGTCTGGTATCTTTTACAAACCTGACTGTTCAAATGCCCAATATTAAACCTTTGTGAGGGCTGTGAAACCTTTCCACCAGTCCTAGATGTTCTTTCAGACATCAGGACTTGGCCCAAACAACCCAGAGGACACTTCACTGATATGTCCATGGGTTTCTCAATTTACCACAATTTTACCACAATTTTTTGGTTTTACCACAATTTACCACAATTCAAAACTATGATCTCAAAGTCTAGTATTCCAAGAAGGGTGTCAGCACCAACTTGAGGCACGCCAAAGCTATGTAGATTTAAGAAAAAAACAAAAAGGGCTATAACTATCTTTGGTGATGGGCCTTTGAAATTCCAAGCCAGTCCAAGAAAAATCAACAGCTTTTCATGTGAAAACTTAAAGTAATGAGAACAGGGTATTCCTAGAATCATGCATAACTTGGATTTTTTAAACTAAAAAATCTCACTTTAAAAAAAATCAAATGTTAAATGTTGAAGGAATATTTGCTTTTGCACAAAACATTGTTGAAGTCATATTTCCTTGTTGAATGCTCAAGGGGACACCTTTTATGACCAAGCAAAATAAGCCTAATACTGTACTCAAAGCACTTATATCCTTCCTAAGTCTTCTCTTCTCCTGTTTGAACATCCCTCTTTCCTACAAGTGATTCTTGTAAAACATTATCTCAAGCCCCCCCCCCTCCACCATCCTGGTCACCTTTCTCTGGATATGCTACAGTTTGTCGATAGCCTTCCTAAATTGTGGTTCCCAGAACTGAACACTATATTCCAGATAACATCTACTGGAGTAGAATTATTAAGGATGGTGCAGAATGCAGAAAGCAAAGAGGAACAGGTAACAATGAAAATAGGTAACCTTCCTGGCATAGACAATAAAACGAGCAAATAACAAAGAGAGAGTAAAGCAAGGGGTGTGTTGGGAAGATAATGAGTACACTAATTGCAGAAAGTAGTAAGAACTAATAAAACTGGCAGGACTTGGTAGTCCCAAATTGTGAAAGGTCCTGCAGGCCAGGCAATCATCAAAGAATCCTAGAATTGGAAAGTTAGAGGGGAAATCAGTGGCCATCTAGTCTAACACATAAAAGAAAGGAATCGCCGCTACAACCAGGGGTATGCTGGAGCCAATTCATACTGGTTCCTGAGAGATAATTTTTAAATTTTCAGTAGGAGCATTTATTCCTCGAGAATCATCAAATGCTACAAATCAGGGCTTGGTTTATTGTTTTGTTGATTGTCTACCAGTGGTGTCAAAATCAAATAGAAATGGGGGACACTAAACCTTACATAAGGATCCTTGTACTTTCATATGTTAACATTATCTGTGTCCTGTTGCCTTTTTATTTCTCTTGTTAAATATTTCCCAATTACA